AGGTCCACGAGTATATCAATTTTGGATAAGGGATATATTTCAGTGCACGACGTCTATAATGTCAATCAGTTCGGAAAAAGTGGATAGAACACCTATACTTTTTGTTAAAATCATCACAGTTGATACTCACTAAATAAAATATTGGCGCATAAATTCCTAAAGCAGCAAAGGCACTTGCCGTCATCAGAACCCTGAGACCCCTGCTCTTCAGAGGACTGAAATCGAACATAGGAGGTTTCGGCACCTTGGTGTGAGACTTTTTCTCCTTCATTTTCTTTCTTTGGTTCTTGAGGTGCATGATGGCCCTACGTTGAGGGTGATACAGATTGGCGGATCTGTAGACTATTGGTAGGAAGAAGGCGAGTGCCAGAAGGCCTGTGATGGCTTGAAGACCAAGACGCCAACGTAGTTTTCTGGAAGTAATCGAATCAAAAACTGAGCTTTATTGTCCAAGAAACATTATTCCTATTGACAAAGCGTTAACTAGCAAGTGGATAGATCCACTGTCCAATTATTAATTAGTAGTATAAAATATACAGATATAAAATATAGTTAATAAATAACACAAATACAAGGCTATAAAACAACTACAAAAAGAAACATGAAAGTATCACATTCATATCACATACAACGCCAACTAGATACCTAACATAAATAAGAAATAAATTAAACATTATACAGTCTGTCCAAGATAAGGTTGAACAGCATGGGGATCTCGAAAACTGTAGGAGATACGGAGTCGGTCAAATGGGGAAAGAGTTGCGCATTTGAAGGCTCATATCAGGAGCCTTCGGAAATTTTTGAAATTATTTTTAGTTTTTAGTTATATCGAAAAAAGTGAATTTTTGAAATATCTATTTCATTTTTTTTTCTCTGTTATTATTAGAGATACAGAAAAACTGAAAATATTTTTTCATAGCAACTTTTGATGACGTTTAACGTGGTTATACCGATTTTTTTAACCGACGTTTCGTATCCGTAGAACCATCATCAACTTTTGTTTTTAAAATACGGTCCTGATAATTTTTTCACAGATTCTGAAAGGTTTTTTTATTCTAGATTCAACCATGTATTAGACGAGGTGATCCGGATGTGTTTCGACCTATTTCTATCCATCATCATTGTTTTTTTCGAACTTCCAAAGGAAAAGTGCCATCAGTTCCATTTATTTCTGATCATTCAGTGTCAAACTGATGGATTACTCATTCAATACTGAGAAGTGATTAAAAATATTTCACTACATCATTCAATGCAGCACTTGAAATTTTTGATGAATTCTTGCACGAAATACTTTAACAACTTAACTTTGACAATACCTACAGAAACATTTATAACAAATGTTCAAAAATGATAACCATTATTTTCTGAACAAAGATATCCTCTTCTTACAGTTGCTTCTAAGACATTACTATAAGCATTTCTGGGGTTATTCTATTGAATGCTTCGATGACACTGTCCCTCAGTTCTTCTTCATCATCAAAGCTATTCGAGTGTACAAAGTTTTTGATATATCCCCTAAAAAAAATTCAGCTGTGTCAAATCAGGTGACCGCGCCGGCAAAGGGACTGCAGAATGAGTATCAATCCATTTTTCTAGATAAAAAAGTACGAACTTCTCTGGAATAATGTACCGGAGCGCCATCTTGTTGAAACCAACAGTTCTGAACTTCCGCAATCGGTAAATCATCCAGAACTTCCTCAAGATGATTCTCAAGCAAATTTCTATAACGTTTGAAAGTCTGTGTTTTATGGTGAATGAAAGGACCAAAAATTCGTGTACCAAATATCGCAACCCACATATTAAACGGTGTTGGTGTCTCGCTGTTATTTATAAATGTTCATTTTCTCGTGAACAATAATGTGTATTTTTTCTATCGAAGATTCCATGGTAAGTGACCATGCTTTCATCAGTCCAGATGATGGTTCGCGGGAAATTTGCAAAATTTTGACATTTCCTGGTATACCACTCACAGAATGTCCTGCGCCTTTCGTCATCGCCTGGTTTTAGCTCTTGACATATTTTGAATTTGTATGGATGGATTTTTTGTTTCCGCAAAATGAAATAGGTTGTTGATTGAAACCAGTTGATGAGGTATTAGTGTGTTGACTGATTTTCCTTCAAAATAAGTGGAACTGATGACATTTTTCCTTTGGAATTTCGAAAAAACATTGTTGATGGTTAAAAATAGGTCGGAACACACTTAAACCACCTTGTATAATACATGGATGAATTCAGAATAAAAAAAACCTTTCAGAATCTGTGAGAACATTATCAGGACCGTATATAAAAAACAAAAGTTGATAATGGTTCTACGAATACGAAACGTCGCTCAAAAAAAATGGTATCACCACGTTAAACGTCATCAAAAGTTGCTATGAAAAAGTATTTTCAGTTCTTCTGTATCTCTAATAATAACGGAGAAAAAAATAAAATAGATACATATTCCAAAAATTTACTTCTTCCGAAATAACTAAAAACTAAAAATCATTTTGAAAATTTTTGAAGGCTCTTGATATGCGCAACTTTTTCCCCCTTAACCGACATCGTATCTCCTACCGTTTTCGAGATCCCCACGCTGTTCAACCTTATCTTGGACAGACTGTATATGACTTCAAAACTTTTCGTTGTAATATTCCTGCAGGTCATAGTATGCTTTTTCAATGAGGAATTCTTCAATCTCTTTCCTGAATTTCTTCATACAACCAATTCTTTCGAATTGTTCTGGCAAGTGATTGTAGATTTTTTGCTTTCGTTATAATTGAATTTTTTGTTCGAGTCATCTTCGGTTTCGGCAGAGGCATCAGGTGTTATTTTTGGTGGACATAATATGATTCACCAAAACAGACTGTTTTCAAAATGAAGAGGCAGGTGAGAGTGAGAAATTGTTGACTGATATAAAGTGGTCTACAATGGTCCGTTGCTTCAGCCTTACACAAATAGCGAATTGCCCTCTTCTATAGATAAAAGACAGAATTCAACAAAGTTTGGCTACAAAAACTAAAGAAGGCTATGCCGTACATGATAATATGAGACTCTATATGAAAAAAAAATACGTGTTTCTGGCAATAGCAGGACCAAACTCATTTGATACGACTCTGATGGCATAGCAACCTGATAACAAGTTGAATAACTAACACCCTATATATATATAAGATTTTGCTTTCAAATTTCGTATGGGGGTATTTCAGCTTTATGAATCGAAAAGGCTGGTCACAGTTTCGAAATAAAATTGCGTACCAGCCGTTTTTGAAACTTGGACCCCTTTAACGAACGAAAGTAGGCCTTGAGAATCAGAATATTTCAAATTCTTTCACATTCTCGAAAAGAGATCGTTGAGTTACTATTTCATGGGATTCTTGTTTTTGTAAATCAGTTGACGAGTTCTGAATTAGGAGGGTGATGCGGGTTGAAATCGCTCACACTGTATAGATACAGGATGATTCAGAATTCGATATGAATATCTTGATTACATTGATGTTTCAAAATGCACTAACTCCGATGTAGATGAATACATTTGAAAGTTGACGTGTCTAGCAAATTTTCAGAAGAATCATTCACTCTGTTTCCACTAGCGAATTCATTCCAGTTGAAGTCTCCACCCTGTATTTGACTTCCAATAATCTCGTGATTCACATAAATTATCCTTGGATGAATGAAAATATACAGTGTGTTCCACTTAACATGCTCACCATGGGTATCTTTTTAACGGTGAGTGATACGAAGTCGGTTAAATGACACCAAATGTGGAGTTTGTCAAGGCCAACTATAATGTGAAAAAATATTTTGATAAAATCTATTCGTTTTTGTTTTATACGCAAAAAACAGATTTTGATCATTTTCATGTCTCCTCAGTAACTTCTTTATTTATGAAAATATTCAAATAGAAAATTCACATCCTAATAGAATTTGAGATAGCAGCACCAACTTAAGTTTTTCAAATGTAGCTCATAGTTCACTATGACTTAGTTACAAATAACTTTTTTTTCTCTCACAGATGACATGTCGCAATTATAGTTTTGTGTTGATAACAATGGAGTTATCGTCATTTATACAAAAACAAAAAATTATTTGGAAGCCGCCATCTTGAATTTATAAATTTTAACAAAAAAATCATGATCTCCGACCTCAAAAACCCCCACTTACCAATTTTGAATGGAATCGGACCAAATCTTGTCCGCCATCTTGGAGCAGCCATTTTTTTTTAATTCAACAAAAATTCCATAGTGTATTGTCACCGAAATTATGAACACCTGCCAAATTCCAAGTCAATCGGAGTTATGGAATTTTTGTTGAAATAAAAAAAATGGCTGCTCCAAGATGGCGGACCAGATTTGGTCCGATTCCATTCAAAATTGGTAAGTGGGGGTTTTTGAGGTCGGAGACCATGATTTTTTTGTTATAAAAATTATAAATTCAAGATGGCGGCTTCCAAATAATTTTTTGTTTTTGTATAAATGACGATAACTCCGTTGTTATCAACACAGAACTATTACTGCGTCATATCATCTGTAAGACAAAATAAATTTATTTGTAACTAAGTCATAGTGAGCTATGACCTACATTTGAAAAACTGAAGTCGGTGCTGATATCTCAAATTCTAGAAGAGTTGGTATAAATTCCATATTTTTCTCGAAATCACTCTGAAAAACTGCCATGAGAATGTGAAATTCCTATTTGAATATTTTCATAAATAAAGAAGTTACGGAGGAGACATGAAAATGATCAAAATATGTTTTTTGCGTATAAAACAAAAACGAATAGATTTTATCAAACTATGTTTTCACATTATAGTTGTCCTTGGCAAACTCCACATTTGGTGTCATTTAACCGACTTCGTATCTCTCACCGTTAAAAAGATACCCATGGTGAGCATGGTAAGTGGGACACACTGTATTCGAGAGTCATAGATGATAGATGATATTTGGGATGATTATAAATGGAAAAATCATAAATAGACAATGACGGAATCATGGTGGTTCATTTTTCTATCAGATACTCACCCCACAGCCTCTTTATACAGAACAGAAAAAAGAGCGATTCCTACTCCTGTCCCTGATTGGGCTACCATTTCGACGAATTCCCTTCTTCGCTTGAAATAGTGTCCTAGTACTAAAGTGGAAGTTTCTCGAACTATTCCAGCTCCTACTCCAAGGAGCAAACCATAGCTAAGGAGAGCCTGAAAATCCAAATAATCAGTCACTTGTATACTAGGAGAATCGCGAATAATGAAGAATATATCCAGGTATGACGTAGATAACCAGATTCAAATGACCCATCATATAATAATTGAGGGCAAGTGATAAAATCAACATAAATGAAGAAGAAATGACAGAAATTATCTCTTACTGAATAAACTATTGTGGAGGTTAGTGAGGAATTGAGATTTGTGAGGATGAGGAGCGCGACAATCATCATATACAGGGTGATTCACATAAGAACAGACATGGAGCAGGGGCATGTAGGAGGTCCCAAAATATAGCAATTTAACGCAACTCACCTCTATACCAAGTTGCTTCCCTAAGGAGATATACCTAGGCTTTGAAAGTGAAGTTATAAATTTTGAAAAAAATCAATATCTTCGTTATTCTTGAACTTAAAGCAACCAAATTTGGTACACTTTGTGACAGTAACTAGAGTTCAATTGGAATTTGTAAAGGGGGTATACCAGGTGGCGCACCATTAATATTCAACATAATTTTGTTAACACTTGATGGATTTGAAAAATCTTTGATTCGTTTCGTGGGCAATTCAATTAAAAAACTTTTTTTACTCTAGTAATTTTTCGAAAAACCTCATCTTTTTCATCAAAAACTCGAATAACTGAAAACGCGCGCTCTAAGTGTGTCATTTAAACCCAGGTAACAAGCTGACGTCATTTGTACGTCAATATATGGTCATTTATGGTAATTGACGTCATATGACCTCAAAATGACGTCATATGACCTCAAAATGACGTCATTTTGACGTACTTAATATGACGTTATATAGACGTCCTTGAAATGTCGTCAATATGACGTCATCTGATGGTCATTTTCATGACTAATTATGACCATCATTTATTGAGTCATCTACATCAAGGAAAATTCATAATCAAGAAGTTTCCCATCTCTGTTATATGAAAACGTTAGTAGTTTTGTTATATAATACATATATTATTATGTCACTCATCATATATTATGCTTTATAATAATTTTTCCTCTAATCTGTGCAAGATGTGTGTTTTCGATGATCTCTGAGATAATTGTTAATTATATACCTTCTGTGCAAAGTATTCTCCCTATAGCTATTAAAAATATAAGACCGAATGTCACGTCATAACGTTGTTATTCCGGAATGCGAATTCAAATCAGAGCGGGAGAGTGCGTAGAGAGCTGTATTTGATTGGTCGGCACGGACCTTGCGCAGACATGCGAACGTCGACCGCCAGCGCCAACCCCCCAGGCAACCAGATGACGAATGATCACGTCACTGTGACGTCCCTAATTGGTTATTTTTCGTCAGAGACGTCACACCAATTTATGACGTCACTATGACGTACTTTCTATGACGTGATGATCACGTTATCGTTTCGACGTCGAGTGAACGTCACTTAGATGAGTAAAAGAAGACGTCAGTTTCATGACGTTGCAGGGACGTCCTGTCGACGTCCATTTTTCCCAGACTTTCTCTAAACCATGCATACTTATATATCATCATGTGAAACAGAAGTATAACTCATGAAAGCGAATCAAAATGCAAATTTTATTCTAATTATCAATATACCCGAAAAGTAGTAAAAAAAAATTTTTCTAAAAAACTTTGACACACTGTATATCTCGGAAACCAACAAGCTATGTATATATAAAAATGATTGTTCAGGTATAATACCATATTGAAACCGTTACTCTTATGACGTTGCAGTGACGTATCTATGACGTCTAAAAATCACGTCGGTGTGACGTACCAATTTGGTGAGCATCGTCATTTAGGAAATTTTTTCAATAATTCACTATTTAGATTTTTGTTGGGTGACAAAGAATGCATCAATATTCATTATTCAACAGAGTGAAGCCAAATTCGCCAACATCCTTTCCATTGTTATCAAACTATTCTTCGTTGGCTTACATCTCGCCGACACAAACTACATAATTTTTGATACAAATACGAGTAACTGATCGCATTCTGATGGAGATGCGTACTGAAGGATGGCGCTGCTGAATAGGCGATTGAATGAACATGACACAGGAGGGACCCGCCAAGCAGACCCAACAATGCATAATCAATATTATATAATGTCATCAGAGGTTAGTGGTGTTAATCACACCATGTTAAAGGAATCTTTTTTACGTATCATCGACAAATTCAATCGTCATTTTGACGTCATTATGACGTCAGTCAGACGTCACAGTTTGGTGAGTGAATGACGTCAATACGACGTGAGTAATATGACGTCATTGGGCTGTGACTTATTCACGTCATTATCACGTCAATGCGACGTCAACTACTGACGTCACCTTGGTCATTCAAGTGACGTAAAAAAGACGTCACTGGAACGTCATCTGGTTGCCTGGGCCACAGCTGTCTTCAGAAGACGGCTGTGGCCAAGCCGTTCACTTCCGCTTCGCCGGCCATGATGACCATGAAATTAAAATAACAATACATAGAAGGCCATCATTATCATGTTATTCGGCTATCTATGTGGTGTGCATGGTGTGGTGGTCATACTTATTCATATTCATATATCAAGTAGTAGAATGTGAGGATGGCAGCATGGTCATTATTTAAGACAAGTGGTGTATGCCGAAAAAGCAGAATGTGAATTGGACGCCATTGAAGGAATACCATAGGGTTCTGAGAAATCTCGCTTGAGTGCATCATCCGAATGGGATAAGTTCCCAATACCTACCTATAATATTAATATGCATTTAATGTGGTAAAGGAACATCAATATAATTATACCAAAAAAATTTCATCTTTTCTGATAATATTGATACAACCCTAATGCAACAGTGTTTTTTTTAACCTACAGAAAATTTCGGAATAGCACAAAATAAACTGAAACATGCAGAAGATTTCACTGATATAAATAATCGTAAAGATCACTTCATTTTGACGCCATTAGGATGTCGTCATTTTGACGCCATTAGGATGACGTCATTTTGACGACATGAAAATGACGTCATCCGTCTTTGACTTAGAAGGTCATATAAACGTCATTATGACGTCATTTTGGAAGTCATCCTGACGTCAGGCCTGACGTGATAATGACGTACAAATGACGTCAGCTTGTTACCTGGGAAATCATCGAAAATTCAAAAGTTGGCTATGAAAATAAACGTCACACTTGACAATGAGGCAAGTGAGTTGTTCAATTAAGTGATTGTTGTTTGAGTGTTTTCAAAATGCACGGGAAGTTTTCTTTTAACGAGCAAGTTGACATGCTGTTAGTGCTATGCCTATTTAACTCCTCAGGGAAGCAACTTGATATAGAGGTAAGTTGCGTTAAATTTTCATATTTTGGGACCCCCTACATGCCCCTGCCTTATGTCGGTTGTTATTGATATTACACACCGAGGAGGGAAGAGATGCATTCCTGTCGCGAGATCAGTTAGTTAACTAAGACGCAAAGCGTCAAGGTGTCGAATTGAAAAAAAAATGTAAGTACCTACCTGGTGAAACTGAACAGCAAACGACGTGAACAGACAAGCTAATGAGATGACTAAACCACCCAGAAGAGCTGCCAGTCTCGCAGACTTCCTTCTGCAGATGGCAACAACCAGAGGGGAAGTGATGAAGGATATGCTCAAACATACTGCTCCCATAAATGCTGAAAAAAGTGAGATACAAAATATACTTATTGATGTAGAATGCGGGTTTGTTTCATCGCGCATTCAACTATGGACAGCTTTTTCATTTTTGATTATCATAGTGAAAATATCAACTGCGCTTTTTTATCACTATAGTAGAGTGACAGAGCGAATATAATTGAATCAGAATATAATCAGTAATACTAGGAACCAGCCCTAGTTTTATGAAAGAGAAAATGGGTTTCGAAATATTCAGGAAACACTTTATCTTCACATGTTAATCTTAATTTTTATATCACTTTACTATATGAAGGGATTGAAATGAATCACAAATATACGAAGGGACTTGATGAGGTTTCCAAAGACTCAGGTTTTGAAAGCGTTTATCAGTCTAGGTTAAAATTAGGCAATTTATTATCAGGCAATACCAAAAGATGAAGTGGACACACTACATTGTAATGTTCGTGATAAAACATATGTAGGCCAAACCAGGAGACCCATTTAAACAAGGTTCAAAGAACACATAGCACATTTAAAATATAGCAGCTCAGATGGATCGTGTGTAGCCGAACATAATAATATGTTCAATCACAATCATAACATACATTAAACTAACCTCAAATTAGTTGAGCAAGTTAATTATATCAGAAAATTAGATGCATATGGAAGCTTAGAGATATTAAAGAATAGTGATAGAGTAATGGATGAGGATAATGGACATTTTTCATATAGTCTTCTAAATTGTTTTGTGATATAAAAATTGAGATTAACATGTGAACTCAACCATGAAAAACATTTTCTTGACGCTTTGGTATTCTTCACAATAGGGTGAACATATACCTTGTATATAAGCAGCACACTAGAATAGGATATTGAGTTTCAATCTTCTCCTGAAGATGCTAACATAGTTGGCGAAACCCCACTGAACATGTAATGTTACAAAATATTGCCACAATATATTGTGAAGCTTTCTTCCGTAATATGAAAATACAATATTGTATCTATTTTGCTGCTATATTCGTGTTGACGATATAACAGAAAAACCTACTGACAAATTGTTTGTAAGTTACAAAATGACCCCTTCAATTAAGTTTCAATAGCAATATTGCATCAAATATATATTCTCATTGAAATTGCAACATTACATGGATCAACTACGAACAATATCAGTGCAACGTTACATATGGAATTTTCAATTGTAATGTTGCATCAACATTTATACTTCATTGAGTTTGTAAATAACATGAGGTAACTACAAACAATATTGCTACAACTCATGGGATGCAACACATATTTGAATAAAAAAATGTAATATAGCTGAAATATACAAAATGCTACATTGGGTATCGATCGAGTGACGCCATTTCATGAAATGCCTACGCGCAGTCGCAAACTTGCATTCGACAAACGCCAGTATCTTAGTCGCCATATTTGTTCGTGTTTGGCTTCGGTAACAGGTATTTTGTTGTTGTACACGTCCAAATGGCAAATGATACCAATAAATAATATACTTTGGAACATAAATTGAGGTATAAGTGGTGATCTGGCGATATGTGATATTAGGCAGTTGGGAAGGTTTTGAATCGCAATTAGCAGTTGATGGTTAGGTAAGTCAACATCAGTTATTCTAGGTTAGGTATACATTTTACAAATTCATACATCGTTCATTGATCTAAGCGGATCGTTCGATCGACAAAAAATAATATAGAATGATAATAATTATTCGTTATTCGTATATACCTACTCAAAGTTATAGGACAACCTCGTGAATTCAGTCAGTGAATGCAGTCAAAGTGAATCAAAGTGTACCTACTTTCTTATTGTTTCTGTTTGAGCTTTCGGGTCTTTATCGGCTCTTTATCAGGAACTCTATAAAACATTACAAATTATATGAAATCAATCCTTTTTATTACTGAAACACTTAGGGGCATTGAGGTTTTGTTTAACCTCATAGTGATGTAGAATCATTGCTCGAATCATCAAATCTTATCTCTCATTTTACTGCACTTAGCTGTTGTAGAAAAAACTTTGAGCTCGCACTCACAATTCATTCTAAAACAACCTGAAATATCGTTCTTCAGATTATTCTCTAGATGCTGGGAAATATTCATATTATCTTCAGTGTATATTATGAGCATACTCTCAGCATACCTTGGAAAATGAATATTTCCAGAATCAAGTATACAATCCTCAACTCTCAAGTTTAACCGGTAGATGAACTAACTCAACTAACAAGTAGATTCCTGACTATTTTATTTTATCATTATTTCCTTTATTCCAGGTTCTTATGCAGTGCAGTGCCTATGAGACCTAGTACCGTTATATCAAAAATATTTAGAAATACTTTTAAATTATGAAATAGTCGACACGATTATTCGATTATTAGAATATTGTTACTATGTATAATTCATAATATAAAATATGTAATTTTCCTTTACTTTTTATTTTATGTTGCCAGTTACCTTAACAAGATATAACAATAAAATTACATTCGTTCATTGAGTATGAAATGTTACTTTACTTCATACACAATGTTATAACTCTGCTGGAATGATTCATTTGCGAACATTACATTCATAATATTTGTAGTGGATGTTTATAATATATTGTTTAATTATGTCATTGAAATCAGGTACCATTTCGAAACAGTCCAACACAGCTTTTCCGAAAGTGTTACGATAGTTAGATTATTCATCAATTTATTGTTTATAGCAATAGGTAGGTTATCAATTAGGTATTGTAGTTACAGAGAACATTCCGGTTTGAACTCTGAAAGAATTAATGACTATTCTTTAATAAACCAGTGAACTATCTTCTGCTGTTCTTCCCTGCACTCCTGAACATGTTTCGATAACTCGAACTACGATCTAATTGAAGACAGGACATTACATGGCGATCCTGCTGGTTACATGTTTGGGGAAATGAAGAACTATATATAATAATCGTCTGGTCATCAAGATTATGGGAAAAACACAATCAAAGGAAGAAGTGATCATTTCTCAAGCAGGCAACAGCAGAGGAACTACTGCTCAAGGTGACCCTAAACATGGTTACACCCTCTTGGAAGTTTGCGGAGTCGTTATTGGAATGCTGATAATTGCAGGCTTAATCATCTTATGCTATCGTCGAGGCAAAAAATCCATAGAGAAGAAGATAAGAAGAGAAATAATAAGAAGTCAAGGGTTAGTCTTGTAGCATTTGAATTTGCTACAAGATAATACTAGCTAATTATTTTGATGAAACTTATCAAATTACAGTAGAATAGCACTGTGGTGTGCTAAGATTTGTTTTTATTTTTCTTTGGTGTAAGAAACATAGTCTTCAAATTCTTACCTTATGAATTTGAGAAGAAACCATACTCACAGTGAACATTCAGTCTGACATATAGTAAATAATCCTTGAGTAGTAGAACATTTAATGAAACAACCATATCATATCACACACAGTTTTGAATGAGATCTTTTAACAAACAAATTCCAATAGCAGAGTACTCATTTCTTCTGATATTCTATGTGCTAATAGGAAGTGATGATGTAAGCTGCAGGAGTCTTTGATTTCTGGCGTTCTGATCCTAAGGCCCTAGAATCGAAGAAAATATTTAATATTGTAATCCATTCAAAAGTAGACAGACAACTTACCGTTGATGTTCTCCAGGGCGATAAATCCTATTTCGCTGGAATATCTCAGGATTTATGATGTTGTTCCTTCTGAATTGGTTTCAATTTGGATAAATTTCTTTGTTTATTTTTGGGATAATATTTCAGGTTATATTTTCATGTGTCATCAGGATGTCACTGTCACTGTTGTCATACTGCAGTCATTGTGGACTGTCATTTGTCTTCTGTGAAGGATTTGGAGATTATTCCTATGAAGACAGAAGAAGAAGAACAATTCTTCTTAATAATTGGGGCGTAAGCATTTCTTCGACCAATAGGATTCTTGGATTTCATATTTGGCGCTGATTTGGGATTTTAACAGGAAACTAGGGTTTTTGACTAGTAAAATCGAGGGTAGGAGAATTTCCGGCACGTACCTACCTCACTTTTTCTCGGTTAGCCATGGTGGCGTGCACTTGACCTGTGAAAAGTAATTTTGATTTTCTCGGTGAAAACCGTAGAAACCCTTATGGGTATTTGATTTTGGGAAGCCGTTGCTTACCGGTTAGTGGATGGAATCTCCGTCAGGAAGCCAATTGTGGGATTTGTTCCTGGAGACTGCCATGAAGTTCTAGAAGCCATGCAGCCCGGCCTGTTTCAGTCCTTAAAAAGCAAGATCTAAAAAAGTCTTCAATCCTACCTCCCTTCTCAGAAGGTAAGTCACAGCCATAGCAGATTCAGCAGTGAAATCTTCGAAAATATATCCTGTTCTTCAGTTTTTTTCTGTTGTCTCCACGTGCTCTGTGTACCCTCTCAGGAGGCTATATTCAGATTATTTCTTAGGGTGCTAGGGTGCAGCTTAGCTGTGCTTCGGACTCCTGGTAGCGACCGGCCCTCAGGATACTCTACTCTACACTTGTCAAGATCCCCCAGTGGATCTGAGTAATCCTGCAAGGTCTTCGGATCTTGGCCAGAGTCGACCATGGAGACACCAGATGGAGCCCAGTAGCAGCTGGTAGAGACTGACCCCTGGTTATACTGCATCCTGGAACTCTGCTGACCGTGGAGGTTCAGCATTCCTCGTTTGTGTTGTCTTCACCTGCAGTGACCTATGCTGCACATCTACAATCATACCACTTGGGACCTTGGATAGGGGTGATCTGGACCATTGCAGAGGACCCTTGGACCACTATCAGGTTTTTTTTGTTCCACCTTCAGTGTTTCACATTTTGCTACATATATTATACATATAAATTTCACATCTGAGACTGGTTGAGTAATCACCTTTTTTTACAGTATTAATTCACAAACTGGTGAAGCTCTTGTGAAGCTCTCCCATAGTATACTATGTGACTGCGGTTGCTTACAGTTCATTGCGCTATCATTCCTTGACTAGTTATACAGTCCGTTTTATAGTTG